TTTGCTTTTAATAAATTATTATCAATCAATAAATTTTTAAAATTTTAATGTGAACCTATTTTTGTTTTATCTCCTTGATTATTATAATTCTAGATCGCCCTTCGGCAAATGGTTTACTTGGTAATAAAAGAGCTATCAACCATTGCTGAAGATGTTATCATGGTCACTAGCAGTTTGATGAAGGATATGCAACCTAAATCCGAAGTCATCTATCGAGCAAATGCCATAAGAGCTCTTTGTAAAATCATTGATGTAAATATGATAAATGTTTCTTGTAAAGTAAATATATTCAAAAAAAAAAGGGGGGGGAAAAGTGGTCTAATTAATTTGTGCTAAACTTTAGGCGACAATGCTTCCAAGCGTTGAACGTTTTCTCAAAGCCGCTATTGTTGACAAAACCCCATCAATATCATCCGCTGCGATGGTCTCTAGTTATCATTTATTTCCCGCTGGTAAAGATGTTATCAAACGATGGGCAAATGAGGTTCATGAGGCTATCAATTCCAAGCCAACATCACTTGTTGGTACCGCATCTTCGTATTTGTCATTCACCTCAAGTGGATCTTCTTATAATACACCATCTACAAGCAATATCAGCCAATATCATGCACTAGGTCTTTTGTATATGATCAGACAGCATGATCGTATGGCTGTAACAAAATTGATTCAACAATTGGCTGGAAGTAGTAGAGGGACCTTTGGTTCTTCTAGTGGAACTTTACGTAATCCTTTTGCATATTGTTTGTTGATTAGATACGCGGCCAAAACTTTAGATGAAGATCCAAAGTGAGAAATTTGTTATTGATGTTACCTTTATATTGATCTACATTAAGTACTAATATTCATTTTCTAGTTCGCGTCAACAAATGTTTGAACTTTTGGAGGGATGGTTGCGTCATAAGAGTGATATCGTAAATTTCGAAGCAGCGAAAGCAATATGTAATATCAAGGATGTAACGAGCAAAGAATTGCACCCGGCTGTTAATGGTAAGAATTTTGTTAATTAATTCGCAAATATTACCTTTTTCTTTTTTTTTCCTCCCTAATAAATCTGGAATTTCCAGTTTTACAGCTTTTCCTCTCCTCACCAAAGTCCACCCTTCGTTTTGCTGCGATTCGTACGCTTAATAAGTTGGCCATGTCTCATCCAACTGCTGTTCAACCTTGTAATTTCGATATGGAAAATTTGATCACTGACCAAAATAGGAGTGTAGCAACCTTTGCTATAACAACTTTGTTAAAGGTAATTTATTTCTACACAATTTTTTTTTTTTAAAAAATTGTTTTCAATAAATTTTTAATATAATTATTAACTTACATATAATTAAATTTTTTAGACGGGCAATGAGGCTAGCGTTGACCGTTTAATGAAACAAATCACAGGGTTTATGTCTGAAATTTCAGACGAATTCAAAGTGATCGTTGTTGATGCGATACGTTCTTTATGCCTTAAATTTCCAACCAAACAAGTAGTAATGCTCGGCTTTTTATCTGGAGTATTGAGGGATGAAGGTGGTTACGAATTTAAACGAGCAGTAGTTGAAGCTATTTTTGATCTAGTTAAATTCATACCAGAATCAAAAGAAGCTGGTAAGTAAGTGTATCATATAAACTTTTATTGTTTCATATAAATTGGATGTTAATAGCTTTCTCTTTTTTTTGCATCATGGATCATGTAGCCTTGGCTCATTTGTGTGAATTCATTGAAGATTGTGAATTTACCAAACTTTCTGTACGTGTTCTTCATTTGCTTGGAGTTGAAGGACCAAAGACAGCTACTCCTACAAAATTCATCCGATATATATATAATCGTGTCATATTAGAAAATTCTATTGTGAGAGCTGCTGCTGTGAGCGCACTTGCTAAATTTGGTGTAAGTGCGGAAGATTCGGAAGTTAGAAAGAGTATCAAGGTGTTGCTCACAAGGTGAATTGCTTTTTTTTTATTATTTAAAATAATTCCATTATATCAATCATTCTGTGTTTAAATTCATTCATTCCAGATGTTTAGATGATAATGACGACGAAGTTCGAGACAGGGCTACATTATACTTGAAGCTCATGGATGACGAAGAAAGTGCCGAAAAATATGTCAAAGATGGTTAGTCTGCGATTGAAACTTTACCTACAAGGTTGAAAACGTTGAACTTTTCGCTTATGATTGACTGTGATCATTAGATTCTACGTATTCGCTTGCTGCACTTGAAAGACAACTTGTGCAATATGTCAGTAATCAAGAGGCTTCGGAAAAACCGTTTGACCTTTCTGCTGTGCCAAAGATCACTAAAGCGCAAGCTGAAGCCGAGAATTTGAAATCTAGAAGCTTTGACCTCGTATCTACGCAAACCATTGGAATTTCGTCATCTGCTGTTGCCTCAACGAGTGCAGCCGCTATCCCCACGAGTAGGGATGCTACTCCCACTCCAGGCATAGACCAACAAGTTGTTTATGCTCATCAACTCGAAAAAATTCCAGAGATTGCTGCATTTGGTTCCTTATTCAAGAGTAGCGTTAAGCCTGTTGAGCTTACAGAGAGTGAGACTGAATATGTTGTCAGTTGCGTCAAACATATGTTTGATGAACATATTGTATTCCAGGTATGGATCGTTATATTCATGCTTGGATTATATTTATCAAGGAATTTAACTAATTCTTGGTTAAACGATCCTTTTTAATAGTTTATTGTGAATAACACATTGAATGATCAGTTATTGGAAAATGTTACAATTGTCATGCAGGCAGAATCAGATGACGGTTCTTTGGTGGAGGAATTTGTAATTCCAGCACCAAATTTACCGTATGATCAACCTGGATCAATATACGTTGCCTTTAAAAGAACAAATCCCGAAGATTATACGCCTTGTTGTTTTTCTAATACTCTAAAGTTTTTAGTTAAAGATTGTGATCCATCTACCGGGGAAGCCGATGGCGAAGGCTATGAAGATGAATACCTGGTATGGAAATTACTCACTTTTATTTCAACCGCGAACCATCAATGCATATTTTTAATTCGTAAAATGTAATTTTTTTAATCAGGTTGAGGACATTGAAATAGTTACTGGGGATCACATCCTTCCCACTTATATAAATGATTTCCAGAATGCTTGGGATAGTATGGGAGAAGAAGGTCAAGTGATAGAGACATTTGCTTTAACCGCAGCAAAGAGTTTGAAAGGTATGCAATATTAGATTCGTCATTTTATCACTCTTAAAATAAATCTAGATAAATTTATCGTAACGTCATCATTAGATGCTTGTACCACTTTAATTGACCTTCTTGGAATGGGACCTGTTGAAAATAGTGGAACACCAACTTCTCCTAGTTTACACACATTGATGCTTTCTGGAACATTTTTGGGCAATATAAAAGTATTGGCAAAGAGTCGAATGACATACTCTCCTAGTTCAGGGGTTACGATGGAATTATCTGTCCGATCTTCAAGTGAAGAAATTAGTCGTATCGTTATTGGATCGGTTGTATAGATTATGTAATTTAGACAAAATGTATCTCAATAGTTGTCATTATCATAAAAATATAAAAATTTTGATTAATCTGTTTAAATAGATGCAGAAAAAAAAAAAATGGAAAAAAACAAATAAATGAATTAAGGAAATGTTTATACTTCGATATGATTACGTGAAAATTTTAATCATCCTTTGGATGATCACGTTACCTGTACTATGCCGATTAGGGCAAAAAGGATCATCGCGATACATTTGTTTATTTAAAGTCTCCAAATCTGGTAATGTTTCAAAGAAATCACTCAAAAATCATGAATGTAAGGTCACATTCTTTTGTTTCCTTTTCGATATTATCAGGTACATTTGCAGCTTTAGCTTCAGTCTTTGCAAAGCTTTTTACCGATTCTCGGACATTTGTGGTTGTGCAATATTTGTGTAATACAATTGGAAATGAGACAATATTCAATTGTGAAGGACTTTTAAACGAGATCAAAGAAGATCAAAACCGGGTAAGTTACAGGTGTAATTTATGTAATTAGTTCATTCAATCGATTGATTATTTATGTTCCCTATTTCGATCGATCATCAACTTTACAGATCATGAAATTCATACGCATCTGTTGCTTTGGATCGATTTTTATATGTAACGCCTTGATGTGGACATTTTTCACTAAAGCATTAAATAAGTCATCATCATCTCTTCAGGTTACTGTATTAAACAGCGCGACGAACTTTTGCATGACAGTGAGTATTTTTAAGACGTAAAAAAAAATATTCAATTTTTTTTTAAAAAAAGGAAAAACCCGTTCCGAAACATTGAATAACAAAAGAAATTGTTATTTTTGAATTGTTAGGCGGTTTTAGGAAATATTATCTTTGGAGAAACCCTTTCTCTACAATGGTGGTTTGGAGCAAGCTTGATCGTGATTGGAACACTTTTAATTAACAAGTCGATTCATGATAGAAAAGATCGAATGAAGAACAAGGATAAACGACAATAAAATTAATTTGTGTTAAGTTTCGAATAGAATCCTAAAAAAATTATGTAATGTCGATGATATATATATATAATGCGATATAGATCGATCATTTATGTCTAATATTCTCGATTTTGAGCGCTTTGTAGGGATTTCATAATCTCCTTTGTTCAAGAAAAAAAAAAAATAATAATCATAAATATGATAAATATGCCTCTTTCATTTCATTTCATTTCCATTTTTTAATTTCATTTTTAAAATGCGCAAAGATTCGAAATAGAATAACCATACATAGAAACAAGATCAATTTTTTCCTCCTTACCCAAATTAAAAAATTGATTTATCAAAAAAAAGTCGTTGTAAATTCTCTTATTAGAACGTTTGTCATTAGAAAGAAGAAAATTCAGAAGAAAACCCACAAGGTTTAGTTTAATTCAGATAAAATTTATCGTTGTTGAGATTTTCTCCCTCTATCTTGTTTATTTTTTTATTTTTTTTTTTTACAGATAACGATAAAAATAAATATTTTTTTTTGATTAACTACATAAAAACGCAAGAAAAAATGAATGAAATCGAAGACATCATCGATGTTAAAGGTAAGAAAAAAACTCGAATTGTTGCATGGTGGCGTAGTCGATTATCTATGGGATACACTTAATCTATTAAATAATATATTTATACTTTTATTTTTATTTTTATTTCCATCGATTTGCGTGACAGACGAAGTTAAATTAAAAATATCAAGGTCAATTTCTCCACGAACACCACCACCTTCCGCATATAACCCTACTAAACTTACAAATTCACAAAATGTTGACATTAACCAACCTCCAAATCCAACCGATTTACCTCCTGATAACAATCCTCTTGATGCAATTACGAAGGCCAAAAATACTATTGCATTTATAAGAGCACTTGACAGGGGATACTTTCGTAATGTAGATCCAAGTTATTATGTCGTAATAATGGGTGGTCGATTAATTAGTATTTGTGAAAATGAGATGAAAGCTCGTCAAGAAGCTGTTGCTACCATTAATGGGGACGGAATGGTTTTCCCGATTTCTGGAAATTTTAAATCCAATCAAAACAAATAACTCCATACCTTTTTTTTTTTTTTTTTAATAATAATTGCAAACAAAACCTTTTCATCAAAATAAAGCATTTAATTTCACTCAATTAATTTAATCGCGCATGACCCTTCGGACCTTTTTTTTTTTTATTTAAATTGTTACGTTTCTTGCTTTTTTTTTCTTTTTCGAACTTTGCGGCGCGTTAAACAGCCAATCAAATTGTGATGTTTTTGACTAATTTTCAGTTGTGATTGTATGAATTTAATCCTTCAGGTTAGACCTTTAGGTTCAATTATTTGACTCTTATCGTTCTTGAATTCAGTAATTATAAATCTTGAGCTTTTCCCCTTCTCCTTTTCTTTCATGGTTCTAACAGAGAAATTTATTCCAAGACAATATGTTTTTGAAAAAAAATTATCATGATCCGACAGAATCAACCAGAATGAACTATGATTACTCTTTTAAATCGTGTAGGATGTTTAAGAGACTATGTATCCATTTTTTTTTTTTTTTTTGGTGAAAAAGTATTTGGGGTTGGAACATTACGATAATAATCAAATAATCATTATTTCGCTTCGCGGGAGGGAAAATCAAAATTTACTTTAATACGTTATCCAAATGTTCTCAAAAAAAAAATGTCCGAGATTTAGCGTTTCATCCCTAAATATTTCTGTTTCTTTTTAACTGACTAATTTGATGCATTAACGTTAGTATTCAATTGATCTGTTCTTTGCGTAATGTTATATCCAAACATTACTTTAAAAAACTAGTTGGAAACATCTCAAGTGATGAAATAATTATTTCTTGTAAATCAATGGAACGTTCACAACATATTATTTATAATGAGCCAACCCAATTTATTTTACCTTTACAAGAAATTATCTTATTAAAAGAATTATTTGACACTTCTAAAAAATTCAAAAGTTCACTTATAATTATTTTGTTAAGGAGTTTGGAAGAGACAAGAATATATTTTAAAATAATTTTAAATGAATGAATTATAAAGCAATTGACTTATTCGTTAAAGGAATTATATATATATATAAATACGTTGTTATTCATAGCTTTTGTCACATAATAAAAAAAATATATATATATATAATCAAATGTTAGGTTTTCGGAATAAATAGAAAGAATCTATTGAATATAGTTTTCCCGGCTGAAATTAGGATCTTGGATGAAAGCGGATAAAACTTTGCTTCCGGTTTGCAAAAGAGGATGACCCGCAACACTAAGATTAAACAAATAGAATAAAAAGGTTAGAATTCAGAGATTTTAAAAACAAAGAAAAATGAGAACAGATATTCATATTTCTTTAATGAAATGACTTGTATTTCCCGATCCAACAAAAGGTTCAAAAACTAAACGGTTTGGATAAGCAAAAAGGTCAGAAATAATGAAACACACATTTGTAAGAATCTTTCAAGTCCTTCCCGGCGAGACTCAATTACTTCGTCGGTAAAACGGTTTGTAAAGACCTTGCCTGGTAAGGAAGGAATGTTCACTCTTGAAGATTCCCGTTCAAGAACATCACGGAACCATTCAAAGTCACTGTATCTTCTTCGAACCGAAGAGACTTTCAACTTAAAGGCAGGAATATTCGTCTGTATTTTGAAAGAAAATGAATTAAAAAACAAAAAGAATAAACAGAAACAATGATTATTAAGTACCAATTATATCCTCAAATCGTTTTGTGAAGCATTTTTAAGAACCTGTTATAACATAAAACAGAAAAAACTGTTGAATCGCGTTATAAAACTCACTCGACAAACAATCTCATAATCAGTAAACATTTTGCGACCAAAACCTGTCGACATCGGTAAAGAATTTAGCGTGTGAAAGCTCTAATATCAATAGCTTAATATATTGCTTGGGTAATCGTACCGTGAGTTTGTGGGTTCCTCACTTCAATTTCTAGAAAATTCTCTGGTATACCATACATCTCGTCAATCGTCTGTTCTTTCATTTGCAATCGAGAGGTTGCGTCAAAGTTCTTTTGCGTAGGAGAAGCCATTGTGGCAAGTAAAAAAACAAGTGATAAAAAGTAGAAGGCGTAATAGTTATATGTGCTTTTTATGTTTGATCTTTATTTCACAACTCTGAAAAGCAAACTAAGCCACTTATGGGTTTCGGTGACGTCAATTGCATCATTAGATCATATTTTATATGCACCACCGCAGTTTTATATTATATTACTAATTTTCATCATTTAATACAGTCGAATTTTCACTTGAAGTTTCGGGAGCATCGCTAAGTTCACTACCAGACGAAACACCATTATTAATGATAACATTAACAACGTTCTTTCCGTTACGTTTTTGATTATTGATAAATGTATCTCTCCCATTAATTGAACTTTCAACCTCGCTATTTTCAATTAATCCATTTTCAACTTCAGATTCATTATCTGTCTCTTCCTCGCTATCATTCTCATCATTATCTTCACTGACATCACTATCATTCTCATTTATAGTGTCTGTTTCACTAACTTCTCCCACATTTAATGGACTATCTTCTAAATCACTAGAATTATCTCCATTTTCTTCGTGATCTTCGCTGTTTTCATCTTCGCTATCTTCCTCATCATCCTCATCGCCATTTTCACCTTCATTATCTTCTCCATTACCATTTTCGTCTTTTGTTTTTCGTTTCCTTTTTTTTCGATTACGGTTTTTAAGGTAATCTTCGAAAGCTTGAGTTTCTGGCACAATGTCTAGATAATTAAATCATTATTACCCTCCTTATTCAATCCAAGTGGAATCTCATTTGTTTACATTACCTTGTAAAAATCCCAAATTTTCATTATTTTTAACCAAGTAGGCTTTATTATATACCAAAACAGCATTCATTATTTTTTTTTGAGCAAATTTAAATGAGGGGAAATTTTCAGAAACAATATTTTGTTGAACGAATTTCGAATTCAAATAAACATATAAAACCTTCCTTACCCATATCTTCGTACCGGATGACCTTTCTCTTTTCGGACTTTGCTTGATCCACACCTTTTTTTACAAAATAGTCTACAAAAAGTTCCTGTTATTATCATGCAAGAATAGATGGAATAAGAATGAAGAAAATTTAAGTAATGTACAAGTTGAACATTACTACCAAGTTCCTATAGCTTTCAAAGGTGTATATAGATATCATAGATAATGTACGGGTCATTTACCGCTGCAATTGCTATTAGAAATGTTGAATCTGTGCCAATTGTTGTTATTTCTTCGTCTAATTTTATTATGCGTTTTACGCGAGCAATTGGAAGTACAGTCGTTCCCCTCGCTTGAGTTGCGTCCATATTCACAGAAATCTTGACTACCTCGCGTTTGAAATATTATAAATAGGAAATAAAGATTGTGTATTATCTTGTCAACTTTCATATATCGATTTGAAATTAAATTTTTTTTTATACTTTTTAATATTATGTGGCAAGAAAATTATATAAAAAGAATTATATATAAGTTGTAACTCTAAATTCACAAATTTAGTTTTCAAAAATAATGGGTAAGTGGGCAAGATTGAAGAGATTATTGTCAACAATCAATTTACTTAGTCAAAAGACAAGGGAAGAAGAAAAAAAGGAAACTTTTTTTTGATTTTTAAATAGCGTTTCCCAAAACACAAAAATTTCAAATTTTTAACCTAAAATCTCGGGATATCAAAAATTAGGGTGAGAAATATGTGGCGCAAATATATGATCAGCCAATTACAAAACTATTTTGAATTTCAATGTATTAATAACTCTATATACCTAAAATTTAACACATATTTTAAGGTATATTTCCGGTCACCCTAAACCTTTTATGGTAATTAGACTAAATTCAATGACAGCCCTAATTTTGGCCAAACATACTTAACATACTTAACTCATGTCCGTCTAACATTTATATTAAAAAGACCCAACTTTAGATCTACCAGAAAAAAAAAATTTATTACCCACAACCTTTAAATACGTCAAAATGGGAGGAGGAGATTTGGTAAGTAACTTGAGCCTCCGGAATTACATTGTTAATCTATTTTTATGGTGCAAGAACTTAAAACCATCGTATATAATGTAGAACATGAAAAAATCCTGGCATCCCCTCTTGATCAAGAATCAAGAGCGGGTATGGAAGGAAGAACAAAAAGCAATGGAAGAGCAAAAAAAGCTTAACCAACTCCGGAAAGAAAAGGAAGAGGAAAGACAGTTACAAGAATTGAGACAGATCCAAGCGACTGTCGGTGGAAGGTATTGAATTCTAAAGTATTTTTACATATGCTTGTATAATAAAGACATTTGTTAACATTTGTTAAATATTGTAGAAGAGAACAGGAAAGATTAGATTGGATGTACGCTGCCGGACCTAATCAATCTAGCTCAGCCAAAGCTGAGGAAATGGAAGATTATTTGCTTGGAAAGAAACGTGTTGATTCTCTTATAGAACAAGGCACTTCTATGAGCAAAGTATGTTCTCATCATATGTTTTTTTTCCAAAGTTGTAAGGCATTTATGCAACTTTGTTTAACAAAATTTTTTTGATTTTAAATAGTTGTCTGCTGATTCAAAAGAAATCTTTAGCAGCATTAGTAATCCAAACGCTAATACTTACCGAGATACCCAGGCAAAAATTCGAGAAGATCCATTATTTCTTATAAAGAAAACTGAACAGGCCAATATAAAGTCTATCGTTTCAAATCCGCTTAAGATGAGAGAAATTCAAGAGGTACTATATATAAACGAATAATTAATTGAACAAAATATTCAATCATGCAAACTAACCTTTTACAAATTATAAAATAAGAAATCCAAAAAGAAAAAAGAAAAAAAAGAAAAGAAAAAGAAATCGAGTAAAAAATACGATGAGGATTCACATAAAGAAAGGAGTAAAAAACACCATAAAAAGAGGCCCCTTGAAGATTCTGATGCAGATTCGGTAAGATCAGAAGAACAAGATAGAAATCATCGTTCTCAAAAGCGTTCTCGTTTATCACGATCACGATCACGATCTTGTTCAAGAGATAAATATAACGATAAGCACAGACATGAGTCTAGATACTCGAATAGTACAAACAGAGGTAGGGATTCACGTGAAAAGCGTTTTGAGTCTCGATATTCAAGTAATAATAGAGATCGTGACACATATGAAAATCGAAACGAATCTCAGTACTCGAATAGAACTACTGGAGATCGTGATAGTGATTTACATGAAGAAAGACATAATCGTCACGAACGAAGGTATGATAACGGAAGGAGACATAGTCCTCATCGATATCGTCGAAATGATCGTAGTGACAATAATAGTCCTTATGATTCCAAAGATTATAAAGAAGGTAAAAAGCATTATGGACAAAGTGAAGCGGACAAAATTAAGGCCAAGGAAGAAGCTGAGAAAAGAATTTTTGAAATGATGAATGATGCAAAGAAAATTTCTGAAGAGCGAAAGAAACGCGTAGAACAGTCTACAAAGGAAGAATATGAGGAAGAGAAGAAATTGGACGAGGACAGAAAACGACGCGGAATGCAATCCGACTTTTTAAAGTAAGTGTTGAATGTTATCTATATATTGAAATCAAGAATTTACCATGGTGAAAGACAAATTAAATTAATTATATTTATTTTCATAGAAACGCTTATAAATCGGCATATTCTTCGCAATCATCAATTGGTTTGGGAGAACGTTTACAAAGACATCGTGGTACTTCACAAAAAATATCAAGTGAAGATTAAAAAAATTCAAGTATATATCTCATATAATCACCATTCAAAATTTTATAAATTTTTAATGGGTTTATGAAGTTTGATGCGTCAAAACTACTATAATTATTTATAAATTATCATTGGCTTTATTGGAAATGAAAAATTAACAAAGACTTGAGATTGAAATTGGCTATAATAATTTAGTAGCCAACTGCAAAAAAGTAGCTTTTCGTGATAAAACACCTTAATGTTCTTATCTACCTATTGAGTCTTGATATCCCCTAAAATATATGTAGATAAATAAGGTTTGGATTTACATGTTCATAGTATTGGATATTCTTTTTTTGTTAAACATATTAGATTTAGTCATTAAGGAAATATTTTGATAATTTTATCATTAGTTCTTTAATATTAAGAAATTTGTCCGAAAAGACTAACTGAATTTTGACTTGATCTCTATTAAGATTGATTTTATTTCAAATCAGATATCCAATCAATTCTTGATAATTCAAATTGTAAATTGTAATAATAAAAGGATTTATTAAATCTAATTATCTTTTAATAAAAATATGTATTTGTTTAAACTATTTATTGATATAAATACTCAAAAGATCATAAAAAAATATTTGGATTACAATATGGGAGGTTTGCTAGGAAAATGGGGATCTGAGCATTTTTTATTAAAATTTTAATATATGTTGCATTTTAATCTAACATTATCAAAAATTAAAATGCAATAAAAATTAAAATTTTAATAAAAATTTTTAAGAGTCATATTTTCCTAGTAAACCTCCAATATAATAAAAATTTTACCCAAAAAATCTATAATTTTTACTTATATATATATATATAGTTACGTTAACCCCTCTACAATCACCCTTCTGTATAATTATATTATATAAATCCTTTGTTATAAACATACTTTTCATAAAAACCAGTTTCTATTAATACTATATAAAAAATCCCTTTCTATTCACAATGTTTTTGATAGTACTTAGTAATATTATAAAAAACCCTTTCTTTGTAATAAAAAGAAAGAAAATTCTAAAGAAAACTCTAAAAAAAATTAATATTTTATTTTATAAGCTAAATATGATTTTTTTTTAATTAAATAAGTTCAGATTTAACATTAATTCAAAAAATATTTTTTTAGAATTTCTGTTCATCCTATTATAAAGTTCTTATATAGTCACTTTTTATATAATCATACTTTTTATTTTAGTTCCAAAAGTGTGATCCCATATAAGTAAAATTATTAATAATATCATCAATGATACAGAAAAGAAAAATTATCAATAATTTTATTATTTCTTTTTAAAGTAAATTCCTAAACTAATAAAAAAAAGGTAATACTTTAATTAATAACACATATTTTTCAAAGAAGTAATCATAAAACCTAAATATCTATAAAGAATTTATAAAAAAAACAATCTAAAAATGATTCTATTAAGTTCAGAATCCAATAATAATAGGTTATACAGTCAAACCTTGATATAGCGAACCCTTGATATAGCGAATTTTTAAATCAAATATATTAAAATTACCTTTACTATAGTGAACTAGTCAATTAAATTCTTTAAAAAATTCATTATAAGCTTATAACGAAGTTGATATTTAGATCCTAGAATTCGTTATATCAAAAGTTCACTGTACTAATAATTATTTGACTGACAATTATTTGGCTGGTAGGTATACTTGACTAATAATCATTTAATCAACAATCATTTGATCAATAGTATATTTAATCAATAGATACATTTTGTTGATAAACAAATGTTTTTATATTTTTTATTACTATAATTATAAAAATTCAACCAGAAAAATCAAGATTTTTTATTATTATTATATGTAAATAAAATAAATATTAATATCAAATAATTTATAATATAATAAAAAAATTAAATTATATACTATTTAAAATAAAAAATTATGTGTAATACCCTTAAGAAAGTATTATTTGCTTATTTTTCTAATTATTATATATTATTTGGATTTAGGATTCACATTTTTAATTCTTCTTTTTTGGTAAATTATGAGGTAACCCTTATAAAATTAATTCTATTTCAAATTTAAGTTTTTTTTGTATAATTTTAAATATATTAACATATGTATTATATAGGAGGTTTGCTAGAAAAATAGGATTCTAAGAAATTTTTATTAAAATTTTAATTTTTATTGTATTTTAATTTTGATAATGTTAAATTAAAATGAAAGTCTCATTTTCTTAGCTAGAGCTTCGAACAGGTTAGGTCAAATCAGATAATTGACTTGACCTAATCTGATAAGATCAGGTCAGATCAGACATAAAATTAACCTAAATTAAATATACATTTGACCTGACCTGACCTAACCTAACTTATCTAAAAAGGAAAACTAAACAATTATTAATTTTTATTAATTTTGTTTAATATTTTTTTTAAAAAAATATAAAAAAATATTGATACATTTTTACATTTGATTATTTTTCA